GTGAAAAATGTTTTTGAATACGTATGTGTATAATGATTATTTCTTTGAAAGTAGGATTTACATGATTTAATTCATCCTGAGAATATTGAACTTATAGAAACAACTTATCAGATCTATTTTGGCTATGCTGAAATTTCAAAAGATTGACTATACTGCACACGTAAATTATCTTTTTACAAAAGTTTATGGTCCAATAAATTTTTTTTCTATATAAACATATCATTTTATTCTAACTCGTTTTTTTTTCTTGTTCATAAATCACGTCCAAAATATCACGATTATACGTAAATCAATTTCATAAAATGAATAATCATGTATAGTTAAAGCTTATCACAGTAACCTTGTTTATTAAAAGCCAAAATGTTAAATAAACAATTAATCAATGAATAAAAAAAGATAACTTCATATACTGACCATATGAATTTCAGCCTTTCCTTCGAAATACAGTTCCATATAAGTATTGAACTCGAAAACAAAATTACGTAACAAAAAACTTTTTAAAGTAAATATATTAAGTACAAGTACAAGTACCAAGTGCAGTACTTATGCTGAAAGTACAAGTATTAGTACTTGGTACTTGCTCAAGTAACAAGTACTAATGCAAGTACTAAGTATATATTTTTAAGTACAAGTACGAGTACCAAATCCATCTGATGAGTACTTATACTTGTACTTGAATTTTATACCAAGTATTTCTTACTTGTACTTATACTCGAAAAAGTACAAAAAGTACGAGTACAAATACTTTCGTCCGAGCTCTGGTAGATTGTGGTTCATCCGACTGGTGCGATCGAATAATAATGATCATCATTTTAAATCAGTATTTTGCATTTGCTAATGTTCCACCAATGGAATTCGACGATCCTATTCATTCTTTCATACGATACAGCAACAATGATATTCGCATATATTTTCTTTGGAGGAAAGCGTTTGGTTTGATATAGAATATTATTTGCTTATTAAATCTCTTCATCAAGAACTCTACTGTGTATTATACACATGTTAAGATAGATTTTTCAGTGTTATTTTAATAAATAAAGATAAAGCTGAAGCAGACAGGGATAATAGATTTCATTACGAAAATGAATTATAAAATAATTCAGATTGGGACATAATTCTTTTTAGAACCTTTGTATAACTGTTAACAACTTTTTGGTCATTTACTACAATGTTCAAATTTTGCCCCACGAGGAATCAACACGGATTAGTAAGAATAATATGGCACTATAGAGATTTTTGTTATTTTCGATAATGCAAAATAATTCATAGGAGCTAGCATAAATTTAAATGACTTTTAGAGATTCTAGAAAAGTCGGAACTTCAACCGACTATCATTACAGAAAAAATGCATGTGACAAATCCAGGAGTGCAAGGAAACACATAATGTGTGCTATAAGGCCTCTCCTATTCAATATCTCTCACAACCAATGTATATCTATTCGCGCTACTCACATCCTCCGATAATACCTATGATGCCTGACAGAGTCTGGTGTCATGGTATATTTATTGTGAATTACTTTGTCATTCATATGCGTCATCCGCCAATGGAATTTTCACATACGATATTTGCGACATTTTGTCGGTCGCAAATCGCTAAACTTTTCATCAATAGACACATAATAATCATGAAGATCTGTAAGGATGTTGAAAAAATGAGCTGGGATACTTTATTTATCTTACACTTCGCACCAATGACTGTTTATTTCTTATAATTCGTCTCAATTGCATGTCGTCCTCTTACATATTAACTCCAAATTGTGAATGTTCATTTTCATTACAGGAATATGAAATAAACTGTATTGGAAAACTTAAATGCTTCCTTTCAAATTTATATCGCGCCGACTTAAATATTCTGTACTATGACTAACATCATGACATAGTGCAGTTGTTTTCAACTGTCTGTTGAGGTTTACATGTATTAGGATAGGCGGCGACAGCAATATTTTGAATAGATAAATCTATTGTACTTTTTTCGTATGAATGATTTTTTTTGTTTAATTTTTTGTTTTCAATATTTAGATTTAAAACCATGAAGATGGAAAGAGTGATAGGAGAGTAATTCAGCATTGTTAGAAATTAGAGGCGATATGAGAATTGTTGTTAGTGTCATGATGAATGGAGCTGTTTTGTATTTGCTTAATTATCCTGCCTAGCAAGCGGGAAAGAAACAAGGCCTGGAGTCAGGTATAGTACTGTTCGGTGCACAACTGGAGCAGTTTGATGCGAACTGATCGATGCATAAGCGCTGTCGAGAATAGTTTCCAGTACCGCAGGTAACACTGCACTGACCATTTACCCATGTCGACCAAGTACAATCTAGAAATAAACGCAAAGTAGGACGACATTATTGCTCCAGTGTGAACTACTTACGCTTAACATCAAGGAATTTAATACACTTTTATAAGGATTCATCAGCATAATAAGATACGTCAAGAGAAAGACATATCACTGCAGAACTGGCAACGAAACACTTTCATGATTTTAAAAAGTGCTCATCGTTAATGCTAAATTTGATCTGTCCTTGACTGCCTGTAATTCAGCACTTTCATTGTCCCACTATACTACTATTATAAATTATTAGACAAAGAAATACAAATCATTGTAACTTATAAGCTATTGCTCATCCTCGTTTCATTCGAAGTATAGGTTAGTGAATTGCACAGGAGTGACTTTACTGTTGTTAGAATAGTTGAGTCATGATTTGTGGCTGTGTTCACATGTGTATAGTTGCGAAGCAACAAGTTGGTTCAAAAAATAAGTTCCTATTCTACTGCCTTCATTAAATCGTATAATGGCCTGATAAACATGAGGAAAGCCGTATTAAAATTATCTATTATAGTGTGTATTATAGAGTGTGTTGCGATTCTTTCTGAAACCCACATCCGCACTTTCGATTCTTGATACCTTCGGAAGATACATGGTTATTTCGTGACAATTCGATATCATTTATGTAACGTTATATGCGGAGAGCGTCTAAATTCTATCCGGCGGTGTAACGCTCCCGTCCGAGTGTAACTTATACATAATCTATGGCCTTATGGTGCCATTTATTTTCATCATACCTATTGCCTTTATCTATCATTCTTCTTCGTTCTCTCAAATGATTGAGTATTTAAGCGTGTGTTTTATATGCAATCGATGCGATTTATGATTTGAAGACTTAAATAAAGTGTAATACCATCAGCACAGGCATCTCTTCTATCTAAAAATCGTCACAATATAACATATAGCTTGATCGTTAATATTACCAGACTCGGGGTTCTTATGGCAACATCTTACTGAAGTCAGCTGAATTCATTCTTAACTCATCAAATTATACTGGTCCTATGATAGGTATTAACTTCCATGAATAGCATTTTTCTCTGATTTTTCTCTAAGCAGTTCAGGTTAATGGAATACTAATGCTGAGAGCAGTACCTACACTACCAGACTCTCTCAATATAATCAGCTAATCTAATGAATAATCTGTTATACTATCTATCATTTACCCAGTATATTTGGCGTTGGTGTTGTTGTTGCTGTTGTTGTTGTTATCTTAACTGTTGATACCGTTGTTGTTGTTGTTGTTATCTTAACTGTTGATACAGTTGTTGCTGTTGTTATCTTAACTGTTGATACAGTTGTTGTTGTTGTTATCTTAACTGTTGATACAGTTGTTGCTGTTGTTGTTGTTGTTACTGTAGCTGTTGCTGTTGCTGTTATACCTTTAATGGTCGAATTTCTTACCGGTATTGTTGTATTCACCGGAGCTACAAATCAGAATAAGACGTGAAAACTCTGTTAGAACAATGATTCATAAACGAAAATTCCAAATTTCTAAGTCTCAATAAAATCTGACCTATGTTCTCAAGATTTATTGTTAGTGAAGTAGGTTATCTAAAATTAATCGCATCACGACAATATCTACTATAATGCTCAGTTATTCCCATTCATCTTAGCAGCGAACGAAACTGCATCTAAAAAACATTTCGTTGGTAGAACACAATAAATAATCATCGAGTTGATGAACATGTATTAATTCACACCATTGGATATTTCTCATTACCCACCGTCACGCATCTTGTTTATGGTTACATCGAATCTCAAAATAGCTCAAAGACTCACTTGCAGTAGTATTAGAAATTATCGCATTCAATGGAGGGCATATTTGAAACGACGCACGTTGAACTGGAAAACAAACTGGTCTCGCACATCGGGTGTTATTAACACATATAGTGTTCGGTACCGAACATGTCATATTATCATTTTCGCAGGATGTCAAATTTTGACATGATATGATAGTATCAGCACACATTCCACCAGCAGTTATTGTCATGAATAAGCACTCGCAATCACTGTTTATTGAACATGGAACGGATTTTTTTTGGCAACTTGGGGATGGACAGCATCCACAGCTTGTAGTACCAAAATCAGTCAAATTTTGACCTAAAACAATATTTATATGAAAATAAAATTTATCTTAAAGTATCTACACAAGCCCATTGCGGGCAAAAATACTGAATCAATGTTATCTTAGAAAAGCAACGACAAAAAATTAGGTATTATAGTTTTCGTTAGACTCGAATTAATCAAACTGCTCTAAATCTGTCTCTTTTACCTTTAACGGCAGTGGCAATGAATCTAGAGAAGAATGCAAATTGAATTATTATTGTATGATTAAGAAGTTACTTACACTGTCATTGAGAGTACCTTCAGAAATCTTAGCATTGTTTTGTTTAAAGCAATATCACTTCGTCGAAATACTTCTCTCTATAAATACCGAAAACTATTTTAAAATTTTTATCTTTGTATTGATTGGTAGATTGCAGAAAAAGCACTAATTTCAGTTTAATTAATGTCTATTAATAAAGTTTCACCATCACATATTATAAAAAAATAAATCTATTATAGTAGCTTTTAAAATGTTATTCCAAAGCTAGAGCACGTATATCAGAAGAAAATGGGTCCGGTGAAATAATAATTGTTTAGTTTCTAACGAGAAATTACACATCAAAAAGCCAAAAAAAAGCAGAATACTAAAAATGCGAATGCAACTTGTCTTCATCGTAGCGGACTATGGTGAATACTAAAATACCTCATAGTGGATCCACAAAGTCCAAGATATTTCCAAAACTTTCAACGAGATTAACTCAAAGAGCAACAGAAAATTTGGGGTGTGGATGTGGGTGTCCAGAACATCAACACCCACACTCTCAAGAGGGTGAGTGGTTAAGCTTCACATAGCTACAAAAACCCATCTTTTAGAATTTTGTCATGATGGGCTCAAAGTTCCATAGAAAAACCAGCACAGGGATCATCTCCCACTAATCTAGGACTTCTTAGTTAAGGGGGACTATTTTGCGTATTCTTTCCCTTGACATGGAATCAATATCGCTCACTAGCTGGTCCGGCACCGGTAAGAATTTCAGATCAGTTCTATATCTGTCATTCCCTACAAACGTCTATGATTTCTAACACAAAAATGGTCAATTGTGTCAATGCTATAGACAGACGCACTCACACTGTGCTGCTAACATTTGTTGCAACAATCTTTATCGTTAAAACTTACTGCACTGCGAGTAGACTGTGTATGTGCTTTTATTCAAGCATCATTCGCTATATTGAAAATATTTTTATTAGTAATGACTATTATTTTTTATATGCTGAGCTGCTTTGTCAACAGCGATGCAACCTAACAAAGTTACATTTAAAAGAGAAGTAAAAAATCATGAAAAAGCACAAAAAGAAAACACAATATGCTAATTAAATTTCTCTTACACATCTTTATGTCATCACAACAAATTTTTTTCAGAGAGAACCACCATCGCATGAAAAGAAAAATATTTGTTTTTAGTAGATTACTCTTTCGCAATCAGTGAACAATATTTCGTACTAATAATGGAGACGATTGATCATAAGTTGCGAGTCGAATTTTATTATTACAAACGTTTCTTGGCATGCTAGACTAATGTGAATGTTAGAACAATTATGAAAATGAGTCATTTTTATACATTCAACAAGCAGTGACCTAAAGAGAAAACACCGTAGACGGAAACAATCATAAATTAATTCATATTATCTGTCTGCTCTAGATGCATACTTCAGTTCAAGAGATCGTAGTTGACAACAAATAATTCTTATGAGAGATCAACATTTGCTATTATTTTCTTTTATCATAGTAATAGTCACTGACTTTATTGTATTGACCATGAACTGAAAGCCAGTTGTTTTGAAAAGCCTATTTTTTGTCACTTTAAATTGCAGGCAAGCATATGGTTCAATAGTTAAAAAAGATTGAGAATATAATGCGAAATTTATTGCAACGTTCTCGTTCAAGTAAGTATTTGACGTTTCTTTGCGTT